TGACGAAATCAAATACACCACGTATTTTTGTATTATTATTCGCTTATAGCGATATAACGAACCAGTTTGAGTTCATTTTTCAAGTTCGTTATATCCGGACTCAACTGTATTTCAGTTCTGGACTGGCCTGCTATTTCCCCAGACTTAAATATCATAGAAAATTTATTGGGTTAGTTGGTCAAACGCTTTTATACTGATGGAAGAGTTTAATAATAGAGAATTAATCGCCGCTGTTAGAGCCGCCTGGGACGAAGTCCCAGTGAATCTTTTAGAAAATCTATTCAATTCATTGCCTCATCGAATGTTAGCAGTCATTGAGAAGCAGGGAGGGCATACCAAATATTAAAATAAGTATTAGGTTTAAATGTTGTGTTCTAGGTTAATTCTAAAATATGAGAGTAATCAAGTGTCTCATTAAAAAAATATATATGCAGAAAAACGACCCTAAATCTGGTTATAAAACCAACATTTTATTGAAGAAGGAGAAACAATAAAAACAACGACAACAAAGATGCAAAAAAAGCACAAACACAGAAACAGTTCACTAAAGAAGGTACATGATGGCAGCTTTTCCACTAGTAAAGTCCTTTGCCGATAGAGATCTGAACAGGCACATCATGGGCGTCCACTTTGGCGACTTTCACAATGCGGTCCTTTTCGCCCCAAGTATACTCCTGCTTCACTAAATCGCCATCCCTCAGCTCCACACGTTCCTTCCTATCTCCGGTATGCGGATCTTCAACTCCGTACTTCAACTCGTACTTCGGATAAGCGTAGTAATCAACTGTGTGAATGGCGCAGGCAAAGGCCACCAGAAGGGCCAACATGATCACCACTTTGCTCATCATCTTTGAAGCTGGTTCTAATTCGAGTGGCCAACAAAACGACTATAATAATCCGATTCCAGGTGCCAGCTTTTATACGCAATGGGTTCCCATTCACCGGGGGCCTTAGGTAGCACAAAAATGCGACCGAATAAACAAAGCGGTCGAAAAATCGAAAAGCCAACCGACAAGCTTGGCAGCTTGAAAAATCGAGCAAACGCCTTTATATTTGATTATTAATAAGCTGTGATATGGGTTGACAAAGAATTGCCCAATGGCTCGCCCCATGTTTGGACAAACTATGTGGTCTGCTGGCATGCATTTAAACCGGATCAAACAGGGGTTTAATCATTGAAGTACAAACTACTCAAGTTTTTCAAGTGCCATCATGCATCAAAAATACTGTGCTTTCTCCTTACACTGAAACTGGAGAGGTTTGAGGGAGAGAACAATTTGATTCATATTTAATTCGAAATGTTCAACTAGACGCCCCTGATTGGCCATTACTAGTCCGCCTACATTTTGCTGCAGTTGCATAATCCCTATTTCTCAGCTTCGTTATCAGCAAAACTTTATTATTAAATAATCTATTCAAAATTCATCATCAACTATGCAAATCCAGCCGTAAAGGCAATAAGACCAAACGCTGCGGCGAAATAAAAATCAGACATCGATATGGTCTAATGATCGCGACACATTGATCTATTTAGGATTAATGCCAAAACTCGTTTAAGTTATTCCATGTATATCAATTGATTTTACGTGCTTAAGTGGATTTCGATTACGATTACGATTGGGGAGTTTTTACATCGATTTGAATGTACCTGTTAGGGTGTTATTTGAAGATAAATACCCCCAAAAAAGTAAATTTCAGCTGATAAACCAGAATAGATTATGGCTTTCAACATTAGTTGACTAGACCTAGACTGATTTATGGATTGCAATTAATCACTGCTAATTAACAGGATAGCGAGTAATTTGTAATCTGCACTGGGTTCCACTGTGGGCTTTAATTTATTCATTAGAAGTGTTAACATCGGTTCTAAACCCAAAATTGGTCGTACCAAGTCCTAAACACTGTGATCAACTTTAAGCTTCGATTTGTCCTAAATAATAAGGCAGCATAATTTTTAAACGGTATCAGATCGCAAATCGGCACCAACGTAATTAGTAACCGATAGTAATTAGTAATTAAATTGTCAAAAGCGCGAAAAATCGGAATATAGCACAAAGTCGCCCAGATTAATACAGGAAAAATGCGTCCAATTAACCAAACAAATGGAGAACGACTTTGAGTGGTACTAAAGACGGAAAATTATGAAAAATGTTGCATAACAATGAGCTATAGACCAGGGACGAAACCCTGATTTTAGATCCATCTATGCAGAGATGGGGTTTACCAAATAAGACCAGTTTTCCCTCATGGAAATCGATGAGAAAACCAAAGTTGTATTTGTCACATAAAACCTAAATCTTCCGTTGAAAATTGCGTCTTGAAGATGACTCTAAGGTCAAACCGCAGAATTTTTCTATAAAAAACGCAAACACTTTAGATTCAAATTACAACAGTATACCATAATTCACATTTCACTTCCATTTTGATTCTGCTTCCATCGCATTTTGCGGGTGATACATTCGCTCTGGGACTAATGTTTACAATCACCAAAATGCAGCACACCAGAATGCATAATATTCAGACCACTTGCATAGTTGAATATTCGGTGCAGTTTGTCGCAAAATCTGATGCAATTCTCGTAGAATCTGACCATATGCTTCGATTTGTTTAGTGCAAGAAATAGGCAGTTACCGCATGCTCATTCGGTAGTATGAGAAATAAAACCTTTTTTTCGGTGAAAACCAAGAATTCGTACAATCAAACTTAATCGCGTTTGTATTATGACGTTTCGCTAGCAGGCATGGCTATCATCTTCAGAGGTGTGTCGCACTCGAAACGAATACACGTTTGGAGCGGAAAAGTTAATTTTCACGATCGGAGCAGGAAGAACTGGAAGTGATAAATATGACGAATCAATTTTGCCACAAGAAATTTCAAAAAATTGAGTGAACAGTTTCTCTTGAATAAAGTATTCTTGCGGAACATTGAAGACTGTTACTTTAGCACCAAACGTTTAGAAGTTATTGCTAAACAACCACCTCCAATCCCTTTAAGAAACACTCTTTGGGTCTTTTACCCTCTAGAATAGGCCGGGGTAACTCAATGAATTTTTAGGAGTTGGCGCAGTGCTATGCAAATGGCCTGATGCGCCAACCGAACGCGCCGGCGCAGTAACTCTGCTGTTGCTGGAAAAATGTTGATGACTTTTTCACTTCTTTTTAGATTTATTTTAAGGGCCATTTAGCAATTATATTATTAACATTTCTTCAAAATTTCAGAATTTTACAGTTTTATGCTCGATTTTCTAAAGATTCACATAAAAATATTGGCAATTTTAAGGTATTTTTTGCGCAAAATTATGAAATAAATTTTATTAGAACACTCGCCTCCTTCGTCGCTTAGTTAAAAGTTTTGAAATCTTTTCCAGCTTCGAATTTGGGACAAGAATCAAATAATTTTCTATCAAAAAACGAACAGAATCAGTGAAAGTTTATAATAAATCATTTGGGAAACTCGTCACCTTTATTCATCTGAAGATTGTAAAGCTTGTTAAAAAAATGTGTTTTTTTTAGTTTTGACTGATTTTTTTGCTTTACTTTCCACTCAAAAACGCTCTATTTTGTCGAGTGTCGCTTAAAAATACTGACGATCTGGAGGTCTTTTACGCGAACAATTACAAGATAAATCTATAGCTTTGTACGAATTTTACAAAAAGTTTTTTCAGTATCGAATACGGGTTAAAACAGAAAATAAATTTATCCCGTTTTTTTCCGAAAATCATTAAGATTTTCTCAAAATCCGATCACAAAACTAAAAGTTTTTAAGCAAAATACAAAAAAAACATTATTTTCTGATGATTTTCTTCTTCTTCTTCTTCTGGCAATAATGAGGTCCTTTCAGTCAAAAATTACAAAATTAATTTTGCAGGGAACTTTAGAAAACCATTTTCAACTTCGAATTTGACACAAAAACCAAATAATTCATGTTTGTATGTATTCAGGTTGTGACCGAAAGTAATTAAGATTATCTTGAAAAACGGCCAGAGCAAATTTCCAAAAACATATTTGGAAAATTCGCTACCCTCATCGCTTTGAAGATTTTTCAAGTTTCTTAAACATTTCAGGGCATTCCAGTTTTAGCAAAGTTTCTATTAAGCAATTCTATCTACGCAAAAGACGTATAATTTTTTGTTTTACTAAAAATACTGACAATCTTCAGATATTTTCTGTAAAATTATAAAATAAATTTTATTGGAACACTCGGCTCCTGAACAGCTTTGTAAAATTTCTTCTGAAATCTTTTGCAGCTTCGTATTTTGGACAAAACCCTAATAATTTTTACTGGATTTGTTACCAAAAATACTTCCCCGAACAGAATAAGTGAAAGTTTATAATCAATTATCCGGAAAACTCGTCACTTTTGTCATTGTGAATAATTTGGTTTATTTAAATTCCGGTTTACAGTTTAGTTACAGTTTGGTCTTCTTTATCGTCTTTTTCGAATACCCGTTTTACCTTTCAATTTGGGACAAAATCGAAACAAAGTAATCTTGTTTTTTTTTCAACAAAATTTTGGTTTTCTCAGAAAACTACCAGAGAAAGCAAAAGCATATAATCAATCGTCATCCTCGTCGCTCTGGAAATTTTTAGTTTCTTCAAAATCTCCGAATTTTCGCGTTTTGGATCAAATAGTTTCAACCAATCGAATGCGCAAAAGCAATATGTTGATGGCTTTTTTTGTTAGATGTTAAAATTTCGTCACCGCCCATGAGTTATTCTCATGGACTCATTAACCAATGAGTTAAAACTCATTAACCCAGAGAGTGGCAACAACTCAAAAGCGCCGCTCAGCACAGTATTACCCAGGCCTACTCTAGAATAATCTCCTCAGTATAATTCGTGTAGCCCTAACGGGTAGAATTTAGCGTTACCGGTAAACCATTGCGATAACCGTCTAGGACAATTTTCTGAAAAAACCATAACCGGCCACCCTGACACTGGGGAATTGCAGCACAGATCCGAAGCAAGTATCCAGGCATTTTTCGCCAGACTAGACACGCCCTGTCGCTACCGTTTCCACTTTCCACCACTATAAAAGCGAAGGAAATCGCCCAATCTGTATCAGTGTTCTTCCGATACATCAACCACCAAAACATCCTCGTAACATGAACTTCAAAGCGTGCCTTTTGCTGGTTGCTGCTGTAGCTGGAAGTGTTCAGAGCGGGGCAGTCAGCTACATTTCCGGCGGCCTGGGCTTGGACGGCATTGGATTGGGAGGAGGACTAGGAGGAGTAGGTTTGGGCGGAATCGGTTTAGGAGGCGGACTGGGCGGAGTTAGTCTGGGAAGCGTAGGATTGAGCAGCGTGGGATTAGGAGGAGTAGGACTGGGAGGAGTGGGCTTGGGAGAAGTAGGATTGGGAGGAGTAGGATTGGGAGGAGTAGGATTGGGAGGAGTAGGCCTGGAAGGAGTAGGACTAGGAGGAATTGGACTGGGAAACATTGGTAAGTGCATTCCCTTAACATACTGTGGAGATGGTGGAGATTTGTTTCTTTAGCCGACTTCCTTACTAAGTAAGTGTAAATTATCGTTTCCCTTTCAGGAGTGACTAAAGCAATTGATTACTACACGCCGCCCAAATACGAATACAAATATGGAGTAACCGACCCGAAAACTGGCGACCAGAAGGAACAGTCTGAAGTTCGATTGGGCGATGTTGTTAAGGGCCAATACTCCCTAGCTGAACCCGATGGAACCATCCGTGTGGTGAAATATACAGCCGATAAGGTAAACGACTTACATTGCCATAAAAAAAACCAATTAATCCGTTTTAATTCAGATCAATGGATTCAATGCCCAAGTTTCCCGCATTGGCAAAGCCATCCACCCAATCACCGGCTACGGTTCCGGATTAGGTCTGGGCTTGAAACTGTAAAAACTGCTAGAATCTAGAGAAACCCCACGATAAGACTGCGCCTGTTTAAATGGTACCGCAAGTGTTCAGCAGGATTATTTCTGGCTAAAGCTTGACTACTTAAGACAACCATCGCATCCCGGACTATCCCTAGTATTAGCTTTGGTACTACAACGTGTAGTATTAATGGCGCCCTGTATAGTGTTGCTCATCTTAGTTATAATAGACGAAACTGCCATTGTCTAGGTTGTTATAGACGTCGAAATGTACTGCTTTAGATTAGGTTGTTATTATTGTTATGAAGCATTAAATGCCTTGAAGATTAGTCCGCGGCTTTCTTTACCTTCATCTCCGATAGGCACGGTTTAACGTGCTTACATAAGTGACAGAATCAATAAAAACAAATATACTAAAGTGAATTTTAGTGAGTGAACAAATGAGAGTAAGTTCGAGTAAGAGTAATGGAACTACGGAATTTTGAAAAAAAAAATGCAAACAAAGTTTAATGCTTTGGTCGGTTTTCGTACGGTGCACTTTTCGTGTGTATCTACAATTTACTTCAACTGATTTAATCAGATTTTTAACATCACCATAAATTGCGACAAACAATTTAGTGCGTAACTCTAATCAAGCATTGTTTGTAGTGATGGAAAAATTCCAGTTGTTCGATTATGAGATGAACCGAACTAACTTCTAAACAATTATCGAAATGCTTTTACAATTCGAGTTTTATATTCGATACTAGTTTTATTTCGATTGACACTTTCGACTGAGGAAAGAAGAAAATAACTTAAAAATATCGAAGAAAATTGTAATAAATTACTGTCTTGTTCTTGCATTGTTATTCACTTGCTTTATGGGATACATTTGAGCACACATTTTTTTAAAACAATCATTACGATTATTTTTGTGAAATGTGTTAAAAATTTTCAAACTAATCCGTATCGCCGGACTCTCCAAAAAAAAAATATTTTATTTATAATTTTGAAAACTGAACAGTCCGATTTTTGAAACTTTAGACTCTTGCCAGGTTGGATGGATAATGCAGGCAAAATATAAAATAAATTAAGTAGCGGGTAGAGACCCCATTACGATCCCGGTAAAGGATAGCTCTACTTCAGGGACGCGCCCCTGCCTACGCGAGCCTTGGTTATCTCCCAATCAACATCCCGGGAAAAAACCATGTCCAAACCAAACTTCCCATCACTTCACATACACGTTCCTATTAATCCTGTTCTATACACATTCTCCAAGCCGTTTAGCCAACGTGGAGAATTAAGGCTACAGACCCCCTTAAAACTATGGCGAATTTAAAAACAAATGGATGGTGTAGCCCAGGTGGGGTGACCACAAACTGGCAAGCCCACACCTTCATGAAGGTCAGCCTCGAGGATTTTGGGAGAGGCAAAAATTCGCAAATCCAACCCATATAAAAAAATTAAGCAAAGAAAACAAGCAAGTGCAGTTTTCAATAGTGTCGATAAAAGCTGCTCTTTCAAGTCAAGAATCCACAGAATTTTATTTAAACTAAGTAGAATGTGTGAAGGTTCCTTCGCCACAGTACAGAGTTTATAGCTTCCATAATGAAAAATGCTCTTAGTAACTAAAAATGTGCCTAACGTGCAGAAAAATAGAGTCCAGTTTCATTTTGGGCTAAAAAGAAAATGGGAAAAAACAACCGAAAGATTAATCAAAAATAACAATAGACAATCGGAGCTTTCGATCCACTCATTTATACTGAAATGCATGAAGTTGCTTTCGTCAATCCAAAATATAACCACTATGTAGGGAAAATAATTCAAGAAATTGATGGATGTGGCGCACATTCGCCATTATAATTCCGGCTACGTTTAGAGATTATTAGACACAAAGAACAATCCTCTTTCCGATACCGATTATTGTTCTCATCACTCACTTACATCAACTCACTTTAATAGAAAATGTCTTCAAGTTTCCAGGATGTTTTCAATTTGCTAAGGTGAGCCGACTGACCGTTGGTAAATATGAGTTTCTCATAAATTCGTCAGGCAAAAAACCAAAAACCCTTGAATCCGGTCCATAACATCACTCGCAAGAGAAACTGCGCTGCTTGTGTGGAAGTGTGGAAAAACGCACTTTACTGGGAAATTTCTGAGAGTTCCCAGGATTTTTTCAGTTACTAAAGGGAAGCAATTGGTCGTTGGTATAGACGGATTTTTAAAAAATCAAGAAAAAACCAAAAATGTCTCAAGCCTGTCCAGAATATCACTCAAAAGAATAAACCCGCGGCTTTAAATGTGGAAAACCTCACTTTAATAAGAAATTGTTGGGAATTTTCTGGATTTTTTCAGATACCAATACCATTGAACATTGAACAACACGGATTTTTCAGAAATGATCCAAGGAAAAAACCAAAAAATCCGACCCATAATATAACTCGAAAGAGAAAGTCCGGGGATTTAATTGAGCGAAAACTCACTTTAATACGAAGTTTCTGGGAGTTTTCAGGATGTTTTCAGTTGCTAAGGCGAGGCGATTGGCCATCGGAAAACACGAGTTTTTCAAAAAATTGACAAGAAAAAGCCAAAGATCCGACAATCCGGCTCATAATATCACTCGAAATAAAAAACTCGCTGCTTTAAGTGTGGAAAAATGCACCTTAATAGGAAATTTCTGGGAATTTCCAGGATATTTTCAGTTACGAAGGCGAGACGATTGAACGATAATAAACACGGATTTTTCAAAAATTCCGAAAAATTCCACATAACTGTCTATAATATCTCTCCAAAGAAAAAGTCCACAGCTATAAGTGAGCAAAAACTCACTTTTATAGGAATTTTTTAGGACAATTTTTCGCACATTCTTAAGAAGAGTATGAAATTGGCGTTTGATTTGCAGCATATTTGCATAAGGATTTGAAAAAGTTTTCGCTCAAAATAGCAGCGAGGAGGACCCTTTTAGGACCAGACCAATCAAAATTGAGGTACTGTTCCGTTAGTATTCATTTCCTCCCGTTCCTCCTCAATTTCACACTTTTTTAAGTGGAGGTATAAAATCGAGGTTTGCTCGAATGATGCGCTCAACATTATTCAATAGCAGAAACCTTGCTTTATTCGTTTTGTAAGTGTCAACTTGTTTTCGTTTCTTCCCAAGTTTTCGGCAAAGTTGCAAATCGAAATTAAGTCAATTTTCAAAAATGCATCACTTTAAACCCCAGTTAACTAGAATGTTGGTCTTAACACCATTCAATGGAAGAAACATTGACGTCTTCTACCACCGTTTTCAATTTCCTCTCGGTTTTACTCAATTTTTCGCACTCTCTAAGAGGAGCATGAAATTGGCGTTTAATTTGCAGCATATTTTCTGGTACGACTATTGCCAAATGAAGGCATTTTGAAAATAGTTTACCAAATAAGCGAAATTAACATTTAGCCTCAATTACATATTTAATAATGCGGTTATATAATGAGATTGCACGATGATTCTGATTAAAATAGATTGAGTGAGGTGTGCAACCAACCAATTTACCAGATAAGATCGATAAAGTAAATAAATCAAAGCAGAAAAACGTGTAGTAGTCCATATTTCAACTGAGCCCAGTGTACGCAAAATGATTAATATAATTTCAAACAGGTTTCCGCATTGTTTTCAGAGTAAATTGATGTTTTTCGGTAAACTAGATCACTCTTTCGCCATTAATTTTTTAATTACTGGCCCGACTAGGAAGTACAACGGTGTTAATGGATGGCGTTTGTAACAGTTAGAATCATTTTGAAAAAAGTTTAAACTTCCGCATCTAATAACACTTGAACAGTCAAATAACTATGATTATTATATCGACGAGAAAGTTATAATTATGGAACAATTTTGAAAATCTGAGGGACGCAATCGTGGGCGTGGCGCGCAATTGCACCAGCTTAAACAATTGTGCACCCACAATTGTGGGTACCACGAGAGCTTTTACTCCACTTACATTCATTATGCACGCTTGGTCGCCCATAAATGTGCACTAGACTTTTAATAAAGGATCCTTATTAAATTTACAACAGCAAATGTGAAACTAATCTCGGGAAACCAAGTTCAGAATGCGGATCCCAAAGGCGCAACTAACCCCTTACGTTGATTAAATTTTCATGGCTCTCACAGTATTTCGGAGTACAATCAATAAAGAACTGAAGACAAACAACTAGTGAAAAATCAATCTCCTTAATTGTTGAATAGTATTAACATTAAGCTTGCAGAAACCACTCAAATAGTCAATTGGGCAGCCAGCAATTTTTCTGTTTATTATTATTTAAACGCAGTCACGATTTGAATTAAGTTTGGAAAGTACCGCAACATGTTACCATTTCTGTGCCTTATTAAAATTGAAAACCTCCCTGAAAATATTGCGAGGCCGCATTATAATTAATATTTATGGTTCCAGTTGTGAAAAATCCTACCAATTATATAAAAACGTCTGTAGGCTCATTTGCAATAAAAAAATTATAAGTCACGAAAGCCAACCTAGTCTCAATCAGAATGGGCTGTAGAAGGCGCGGTCTCTAACAGGTTGAATTCACAACAATTTGCCTGATTACGCAACGTTTCCTTTACTTTAAAACGCTAAATAAAAATGCCCGCTGAAACGTTGCCGCCGGAAATCCAACGTAACATAAAAACAGAACTGCAGGATATGCACAAGTGTAACACACAAGTTTCTGTATGAAGATCATGTTGAGTTGCAATTTTCTTTAGAATGGCTTTTAAATCAATTCGGTCCTTCAACAGATCAACTTTCTAAGGTAAAAATATGGCTTCCTTTCCTTCAGTACACGTACTCTGATTATAAAGGTTTACATAACCCAAGGCGTGGTTACTTCGAACATTCCTTGGAGATAGAATGATAAAACTCATTGGTTTTATATGTGCTATGACCAGTAACGAGCCAGTAATACGGTTTATGGCTCGACTGTTGCAATGAAAGTTTGCCCAGCTTTTATAGGAGAAATGTTTCATAAAATGGAACTAAATTTTTATTAAATAAATATATATTCGTCATTGTATTTGACGTTATTTGCTACTCTGTTTATAACTTTACTAACTTTACTTCTACTTTTACTAGTTTCAAATTAATATTCTTTTCACTTTGTGTTTTTGTGTGTCTTGTTAATTTCAATTGGTATAAATTCTGAAATTAGCGCTTTTTTCAACTATGTAAAGAATTCAGAAGATTGAGGATAAAGCTGGCAAAGCCAAACTACGAAAGTTTCGCTCAATAACAAAAACAAATCTCGAATAATAATTCATTAAATTAGGCGGTTTTCTTTGCAAAAAAACTGAGACAAAGACCATGTGTGGTTCATG